GACCCAAACTGCTCCACTTTCAGGGTGCATTTCATTTAGCCAGAGGCTACTAGGCCGGAACACAGAGACAGTTTCAGAGCACGTTACAAAGCGTTCCAAACCTTCCCCAAACCCAGAACCTTGCTACTTGATGCTGCTTCTTCATGATGCGGACGATGCGTTCGTTTGTGAGGCAGGCAAGAGGCTGACCGAAGTCTTGAGACGCTTGGCTGATCGAAGTCACGTCCGATGGGTGGGTCTAGCCGCTCGTGAGCGAAATGACCGAGCTGATGTGCTTGGGTGCGTTCTGTTGTGCTCATGTTTTTTTGGTGCTCCTTTTCTCCGGATTTATTTCGGACTATTCGGATGTGTTCTTTTTTTTTCTGCTAGATGTTGACTTCCAGCGAAGTGATCCTGTTGCGTGATTCGTGCCGAGATTTGTCGCACCATCCTCAACTGTCAGGAAGAACTGATAGCTTTGGAGAGGAGGTCCTTCTGGGTCTCAAGTCACAGCCTCCTGGCTTTGGAGTATCATGCAGCTATGCACAACCACGGAAGCATGGTGCATTGCTGCAGGGTTTAGGAACAGCGTGGCGAGAAAACCCCTTACTGTTTGCACGTTGATCGCTACGGTGAGATAGAAATCAAAATAAGTAGTTATTTAAGGAATCATTTAGCAATGAAAAGCATAGACATTATTTTAGGGGGTGTTCTTATTTAAAATTCATACCACGGCAAACATGTAGATGCTATTCTAGGGGTAGTTATTTTTGAGTATGCAAAAGGGTAGACATTATTCAAGGAGGCGATTAAATACCTAAAGAATAGACATTATTGCAGGTGGTGATATTAATCCAGATATCAAGATTTACAAAAAAGTTTTTAAAACATAGAACAATCATAAGCAATAATGAAAATAAATTAACACAAATAAGCAAATATTGTTTTTAAAAATACAGGTGCAGACAGTAATTTGAGAGGGGTGATTAATCGAACAAAAAAGTGTGTAGACATTTTTCTGGGAGGGGTTAATAATCAACAATCGACATTATACAGTTGGTTCAAGGGTGACCTTTGTTGACTGCATTGTGCGACTGTACTTTGATTTTACCCTCTTTGTCTCCAGTGTGTCGGACGATGGAAACAAGCAAGTCAGCACCCACGAGGCCGGCATGATACGTGGTTCTTTGGCTCGACAGAGGGGCAAATCCTTGGGAAGGCCCTCCAACTCCAACCAGTAGGCAATTTATGGGCCCTTGATGCCCTCGCACGTGCTTGTGCCTAGAGGATGACAGCTTGCACAAGCACTTGCTTCGCCCTGAGACCTCAGATGTTGACATTATTTATGCGCAACACTGCCTTGACATTCAAAGCTACTCTCCCGCAAACTAACATGGAACCCGAGAATTGACCGGTGGTTTCGACCATGTTCCGAAGACCAACCCGACGTGGTTTTGGGGTTCCGTGTGGTCCGAATTACAGGGAAGTAGTTCGTGTTTGGATTCTTTTGGACCGTCCAATCCGTGGCAGAGTCATCTGGACCAGATGAAGCGATCGTTGAGGTACGAATATACAGTGACGCCCTCAAGACGCACTGTGATGCTGCTACTTCCACGAGATCAGTTCCTTGCACGTGTTGATCAACAGCAACACGCTACTTCTAGCGGAGCCGTGGTGTTTTTTCCCCCTATAGTGCCCTATAGGCTTCAGTTGCACACGATCAGATTTGATGCATCCACTCGAACTCAGTTGCACCCCGATGGGCCTAGACCTCTATTTGTGGCAAATGTTGTGCACCACGCCATGTTACAACCTGATTTTTCGTGAAGCCATAGCTCTGACAACTTCAGCAAGGACTTGAGGCAAGACAAGATGACCTTTGCCCAATCTCAAAACTATCCCACACTTTAAGCTTTCCCACTGGCCTTGTTTTGGTAAGCTCCCTTGTGCACACCACTCTCTCGTGACCAATCAAGCATGAAGCCCCATGAGCTCTAATGCTTTGGCGATTGCAATACCTGGACAGTAATTTGGAACGAAGAGGTCAGGACGCTACTACGGGCTCCTGGCCGTACTACTAGGAGCAAGAAGCTACTAGGGGCTCCTGGCCGTAAACTGTGGCAACGGACGCTGTGGCTGTCCTCCCTGTGGCTGTCGCTGAGGTTCATGGAACGCTGCAGCGGCATGCCAGAAGTCTTCACCATTATGAGGACCAATTTCACCAGCTAACCACTGGACACCACGTCTGGGGGTTTGGATGTCAGGCTTTCCGAAGCTCGACGTCATACTCAAAAGAGCGTTCCAGGCACTGGTGGAAGGTGTTTTCCAAGGAATTTGACCAAGTCATCATGTCTTCTGTTTGAAGAAGTTTCATTTGGGACTGCGACCTCATGCATTGTTTTTAAATAATTTTGGCTTACATTATCTCACAACTATTGCGGAGTGGCATGTGCTTTACCAAAGGGGCAGAATCCTAGACTCCGGTAGACGGTGCCCAACTCTCTACATTCTGCCCACAACGCCAAGGACCGGCAACAACCGGATGAACGATTGTCAGAAACGAGAATTAGTGCTCGCATGAATTGTTTTTTCCTTCAGTTTCTTGGCTTGCGCTCAGAAAAGACTGTGTAAGCAAGCTCATGGGAAGCACGTGGTCAGGAGAGGACACTTTCAGAACACAATGGCAGCGGTTTGATCAAAGCTGATTTCTGATATCACTTGGTCACAGGGGCGGTGCCCCCATATGAAAATGTCATACAATATTTAGATGTGATAGTTTTGGATGTCCCCCGCCCTTTCATACTCATTTCCCTGAAAAATGAGTATGCTTCCTCAGGGCGGTGACCACCCCCTCCTTGCATACAATTCCTTGGTCTGGAACATGAAGGGGCGGGTTCTGCGCAAACCTTGTGTCCCAAGCGGGTTCTGCTTGGAATTGTATGCGAGAGAGAGAGAGAGGGAGAGAGGGGGGCGCAAAGAGCGGCTCGAGCCAAACACAAAAGGAAAAACTAAACCTCAAAATCCCAAATCCCCACACAAGGCCATGCAAGTGGCCATGCAAGGTTGTGATTGCCGAACAATTGCAGCATTGTACCATGTGGTGTGCATACATACCTCGATCCTGGACAAGTCTCTCCCCCTTAGTTTCATAATGTTTCATACATTTTGCTAGCTGCTAGATATTTGTTCATACAATGGCTGAAAGTGCCCAAGAAATGTAGATGTGCATAGGTGAGTGAGTCTCCACCCTTATGCATACATTTCCGATCTTGATCCCTCTACCGTAGGGCCCCTACCGTAGGGCCCCTGCCTTTCAAACATATCCCGGAACCGGTGTTTCCAGAAGCACCGAGGGAACAAGAAAAATGCATGCTTCATATTGAAACATCCGTTTTCTCTATTTTCAACCCTCCTGTTCCAAAAAGGTTGGCCGACACCTGTCCACCCATTTGGACTCGGTGAGGGTACCCAGGTTTAAATGCTAGCTTGTTGGCAAGGGTGCTGCTATTCACGCTTCAACTTCAATTCAAGGCGAGCTTGAATTTGAAGGAGCAGCTGCAACTGAATCGAGTCCACCCCAGAAAGGCAATCACTCTCCATTGACAACCTTGACGCAGCAAGTGTTAGTACAAGGTTCAGCTCTTGAACCTGAAGGCACTGGAGAAACAAAGACGAAGTGCCACTCCTCCCCCTACTCCGGAGCAGGTAGGTCCGGTCAGATTTGGCCGACCCTTTTTACAGCTGCAACGCCTTGTCATGACCTGTCTCAACTTGCAGAGCCTTCGTGCCGAGGGGTGACAGCAGTTGGCCTTTGTGCTTGCACTATCCAACCTACTGAACTTCAAGTTCAGAACAGAAAAGAATAGCATGGACGACCAAAGGATATCATATGTGCTTGTTAAGGATATCATACCAAAGGGAATATCTATGATTTATCTCGGCACAGGTTGGGGGCGGCATCGGCAAGTCAGCTGAAACCTAGACATAGAACCGTAGTGGTTGTGAGGGACGCTCTTGTACGAGATTTGCTTTGAAGCACCTTGCGTGTTGCTTGGCAGCTGTCAATCTAAAGACTGATTAGAACTAGACAACTCAAGTGACAACTATATATAATTATTGGACGGACTTGAGTTGCCCACACCCCCACCCTGTGTCAGGTTCCCTGCTCCACATTGCTCTGGGACCTGACGAACAGATCCACTGGAACTCCGGATGTGTTTTCTCTGCCATGGGGGAAGTGCTTGAAGGAGAAACTGCTACAGAACTTGCTCCCCTAACCTAACCTGCTCCAACCCTGCTAAGTCTCTTCCTTTGGTGAAGAAGAACCCATGCTCCAGGACTCTAGGGCCTAGGAAATGTTTGGTCATATTGGTCCTCAGAACCAGACTCCACGAGAGCAGACAGCAAGGCAAGGTCACTATGTCGCATCACTTCAGCTGTTGCTGGTCCTTGAAAATCAGGCTCCTCACAACACTCAGATCTGCATATGTCAACTCCCGAGAAGCTACTTGAAGCCTGAAACTGATGGGAGAAGATGTAAATGCACGAAGCTGGGGCGTGGTCGTGCGCTTGTGAAGCAGCAGGCCCTTGCAATTTGACTGTGGGAGTTGACATTGTCCACTGAAGAGTTGTTACTTAGGCAGCCTTAAAGGTTGACACTAGCTGACAACTGGAGCCAAACAAAGTCTTACTAAAGGCAGGAGCTCGGAAAAAGAAAGTTCTGCGACTCGTTGCATTCGTCTCGACATAACATTTTAACTCCATGTTGCTCGCCGGTGGACATGTGTAGGGGCACAACTTTATGTGATTCTTGCTGAACAAAGGAGCTACTAGGAGCGATCGGACGCTACTAGGGGCTCCTCGCCTTACTACTAGGACCTAGGAGCAATGTTTGCTATTAGAAACAAGAAATCAATAGAATCTTTAGTGCACGAAAATAATCCCATAGCTCTAAGGAACCATCTCACGTTTGCCAAACAAAAAGCAAAGGAGAGCACGAACTCCGCGTTTGTCATCGAAAGGTGTACAGCCAGACCTCATTGCCACGAGTGCAGCTGCTGCTTCGATGCAGTTGCCACACCAAGGATACCAACCAGAAAGTTGTCAGGATTGTTCCGAAGTCTAAATTGAATCCAAGGCTGTGTCGTTCATCTCATTAAATGCAGGCGCTTTGATGGTCTAGCGCTAGCTAGATTCATAAACGGTGCATGTGTGAGGGGAAATTGGTCAATGTCTAATGTGACAAGTTTGTTTATTTGTCATCGGTCCCATGCAAAGTGCGGCATATCGTTTGGAAGTTTGGAAGCGCTTGGTCTTGGGATTCTGCAAGTTGGGCCCTGCTATTTGCCTTCTCAATTCCACCAACTTTGGCCAGAACATGTCCAACGATTGTTTCCGACATCAGATGTAGATGTAGCTGGAAGATGACGTACCACGAAGCTTGCATCGCAACATCAACAGCTTCATAGACTCTTAAGCGAGCGTTACTTGCTCCATTGTTCTGGAATGTCCTGGAGGAGTTGTGCATCTCCTTCATCAGCTTGACGCGAATGCAGTGGGCTGCGTTAGGCAGCTGTGCCCGCACTTGCCTTTGTGAAGATTTCCCTGCACGTTGTGGTAGTTAGCGCTTGTTGCCAGTTGATTTGAAGCTGGACACAGGAAGCAAGCATACAGTAAGCATACTAAACGTGTCTCACCCTTCATGTCAAAAAAACCTATGAAGAGATAAGTTCCCCTCAGGATAATGCAGGAGGAGTCGAAGGGCACTTGTTTCTAATAGCTTCTTGTTACTACTAGTAAGGCACTTGTTACTAGTAGCGATGCACTTGTTCCTAGTAGCGTCCTTTGCTCCTACTTGCAAAAAAATGCCGTAGGTCCTGATGTTACACTTGTGTGTTGCTGGTTGGGCTCAAGTGTAGCACCAGACAGAATGCCGATACCTTTGCGGACGTGGTTTTGTCGTAGGAACGCTGAGCAGCACCACACTCTGGCAGAAGAAATCGTTGAGTGACAAGCAGGGATAAGACATGATAAGACTACAAGAAGAGCACAAGCCGTGCACAAACTGTGCACGTTCTTCCCCTCCTTTCCTTTGATCAAAGGAAAAAAAGGGCCAGGGCAGCCAGGTCACATCACAGTTTGTTCTTTTTTGCGGGGGGAATGCAGCTTTCAAGATAAAAGGGATTAGAACGCAGCCAGCGACCCCATTATCAAGGAAATACAAAATTGTCATTGAACTGCTGCGGCATGGAAGTGGCAATCTCCCATTTACAACTGGCGTTGAAAAACCTCGAGACTGTGGCCAAGGCAGGCATGAGATCATGAGACTCTTTGCATATGTTCGCCCTGTTGCTTAAGGTAGTAGCCATGGCATCCAACCTAATAGCGGCTTAATAGCGATGGCCTCCAACCTAATAGCGATGGCCTCCAACCAAATCGCGATGGCCTCCAACCTAGTAGCAATTGCCTCCAACCCAATAGCGATGGCCTCCAACCTAGTTACAATTGCCTCCAACCTAGTAGCAATGGCCTACAACCCAATAGCGATGGCCTCCAACCTAGTTGCAATTGCCTCCAACCTAGTAGCAATGGCCTGCAACCCAATAGCGATGGCCTCGGACCTACTCGCGATGGCCTCCAACCTACTCGCAATGGCCTGCAACCTACTCGCGATGGCCTCCAACCTACTCGCGATGGCCTCCAACCTACTCGCGATGGCCCCCAACCTACTGGCGATGGCCTCCAACCTACTCGCGATGGCCTCCAACCTACTGGCGATGGCCTCCAACCTACCGGCGATGGCCTCCAACCTACTGGCGATGGCCTCCAACCTACTGGCGATGGCCTCCAACCTACTCGCGATGGCCTTCAAGCTACTCGTGATGGCCTCCAACCTAGTGGCGATGGGCTCCAACCTACTAGTGGTGGCCTCCAACCTAAGCTTCACAACATGTTTGAACGGATTCTCGGCCAAACCAAGTACAATTGTTTGGCAGGAGCATGACATCTCGACGGATGAAAGCCGACTCTTGGCCATCCTGGAAGCGGTTTCAATCTTTGAAAACAGAGATGCTAAGTATGCCTAGGACTTTGTGAGAGACACACAGGCACAGAGAGAGAAAGAAAAGGAATCTCTACACACGCGGCATACACAGAGCCCCCAGCGTTCGATCTGTTGGAGGTCTAAAAACGCGGAGTTATTGTGCGGCATATGTTGATTGTGGCGACCACAATTGTGTATGGCTTTACAATTCTGTATGCTGAGGAGCTTTGCTCGGGATAGGCTCGCAGATTTGCAATGTCTCCCAGCACAAAAGCCGCAATGAAAGCAGTTTGGAAATCAATACGAGGCCAGCACAACATCTTTTGTGCCTGGCCTGTGCTAGCTTCAAACTGTTTGCGGGTATTTGTCCACATCCTGTTGTGAGGAGTGGAATAATTGTTCAGTTTGCAGGTCTACGTGCCAACAGATGCCAACTGATTTTCTGAAGACGTAACGAAATGCACTGATGATTCCAGTCTTGATTCGGCAGGTTGGAACTCTGAAACCTGTGGTTTGGTAAAACACCCTGCTGGGTTCCCAATGTTTGAAACTCTTGGGGCCCGTTCGTTGTCCCCTTCACTGAAAGCCTGTCAATTTGGCTGACGTGATTCGTACGGAAAAAATAACGCTCCACCGGACACAGCTGTCAAGCATTGTCAAGCGTCTTCACATGTCTTTCACTGTGGAGGCCATGGCCGTCGCTACTAGTAACAAGAAGCTCCTAGGAGCAAAGGGCATCGCCACTAGGAGCAAGGACGCTACTAGGGGCTCCTGGCATCGCTACTAGGAGCAAGAAGCTAGTAGGTTGCTTCAGCGGCACTGAGGGGTGCGCTGCCTTTACTGGAGCCTTCAGTGCCACGAGCGCCGGACGGACCCGCAGAGGACCTGCAGGCGCTGAAGAGCATCGGCCATGGAGGTCAAAAAGGAACGCTAAGGAGTCATGTGAGTTTCATGTGAGTTATGCCTCTAGTAGCGTCCTTGCTCCTAGTAGCGATGCCCTTTGTTCCTAGTAGCGTCCTTGCTCCTAGTAGTACCCCCAGGAGCCCCTAGTAGCGTCCTTGCTGTGAGTTATGTGAGTTAGAGGCCATCGCTATTAGGTACTCATGTGGTTTCTTATCAGACGCTAATAGCGAGCCCATGAGAATCAGGTGTCGCCTGAGGAGGCATTGTAGGTCACACCCTTCTGTGGTCACAACATCTACTTTTGTAGTCTTCTCTAAGCATCTCCGCTTTCTGTTACTTTTCTCTTTGTTGTTCTACATCGTTGAAGCTGCGCAGGCTACAAAAGACTCTTGTTATTGCTTGTGCTAAGAGATTCAACGAGGGAATGTTACATGTGTTTGCGTCGTGGAATCCTTACTCGTGCATGTGCTCCCAAATCCTCGACAATGAAGGCGTTGGACAATTTGTGGAGTACTATTGCGACTTGGACCCCACTGGTCGGTTGGGGGCATTTGGAGTAGGTAATGGTGCTAGATCCTTTGTTCTGGGCTTGTTCATCCAATGGGGGCACAATGCCAGAGACAATTACTTCGACTTCGGCTGCACTGCAAGTGTAGCCTGATCTGGTATACAACTTGATTTTTCTTGAGAACTGAGGATGGTGATTTGGGCAATGCTGAGGAGCGTTTATTGCAGCGGATGGCTCAATCCAAAAGCCCCTCATGCGTTTTGGTGTTCAACTGTCTGAAAACTGGATAGGACCAGGCTGATGCAGAGGGCATGAAAATACATACATACTGCACACGAGTTGGAGGCCATCGCTAGTAGGTTGGAGGCCATTGCTATTAGGTCGGAGGCCATTGCTACTAGGTTGGAGGCCATTGCTATTAGGTTGGAGTTGGAGGCTATTGCTAGTAGGTTTGAGGCCATCGCTATTAGGTTGGAGGTCATTGCTATTAGCTTGGAGGGTATCGCCAGTAGGTTGGAGGCCACCGCTATTCGGTTGCAGGCCGTCGCTTTTAGGTTGGAGGCTCGCGATTAGGTACTCATGTGGTTTCTTATCAACAAATTTGGTCTGAGATGGCAGTTACACACCTTTCGGACTCAATCCTTCATACCTTCCTGACATTCCCTCGATCGCAGGACGAGCGGAGCAATGTGTCTCGAACGTCTCAGGTGTCTGTTTCGCTACCAGACTCTTGCCTCAAGTATCTGAAAGAAAGAGAAGGAGGAAGAGAAGAGAAGAGATAAAGAAATACAAAGAATCAAAGAGGAAACCAAAGAGTGAGAGAAAGAGAACAGAAAGAAGGTGCTACTAGTAACAAAGGGCATCGCTACTAGTAGCAAGGACGCTACTAGTAGCTCAAGGATTTTGCATTTTCGTCTCAAGTGTATTTAGTTGTCTTTCGCCGGGTCTTTTCGGACTAAGCCTGTAGCCACCGCCTGTGGTTTGCTTCAGTTATTTTTTGGGGGGATCTTTTCTTTGGGAAGAAAAGAGAAGGTTTCCCTTGGCTTCTCTTCTTTGTAATTCTCTTTTCTGGTGCTTTCTTCCCCAGCTTGCTCTCGTCAAGGAGGCCTTGGCACAGAATCGCTCAATGATGATGGATCTTTTTCACAAGTTTCTTGGCCGCGCGGAGCATCCAAAGACGTTGCTCGATCGGATCGCATCCAAAGGCACGGAGCAAGACAACCAGCTTTATGTCCAGAGAAGCTTGAGATTCACGTCGTGCTTGAAAGGGATGTTCGGATTCAGGGTGCTAATGAGTCGATGCGTCGATAGAATCTGATAGAGCGGTGCTGGCTGACAGGCACGAAGTAGTCGCACCACACGTCAAACGCTCTCAGCTTTTCCAACTGCATTCCAAATCTGTCAAAAACACGATTGCAAATATGGCAACCCAAGCTCCAAAGCCCATGGCTCGATGATCCTCAATGTTCCACAGTTCATTGAGTACACAGTCCAAACACAACTCAAGTTAAGTTTCCCTGTAAATCTAAGAGCCAAATCATTAGTGCGAGTGCTTCTTCAAGGAAGCCTCCCCACGCCCTCAGGCGGGGTGAGCTTCCTTGAAGAAGCGTGAGCTATTCTGCGACCGGTGACTAGAAGCTTTAGCAGCTAGGAGCGAAGTACTCCCTGTCTTAATCAAGTAGGTGCCTACTTCATTCAGTAGGGAGGCACGGCAGAGAGACGGGCTTTAAAGGCTTTTAAAAAAAAAAAAAAAAAAACAATTAAAAAAAAAAAAAATATATATATATATATGTAGATAGAAACATTCAAAGTCCAGATGAATTCAGACAGGCTGGACATCGACAAGTCTGGTGTGATCGATGCCTCTGAGTTGCGGCGCGGCTTGCGGGCTGTGGGGCCTGGGGCCCTGGTTCTCCATTCGCAGCCACTCTTTTTGTCTCACATGTCTGGCCCACACTGTGTGGCTACACCTGTTCTTATCCTGTTTGCAAGTTGTCAGACATACTGGAGACCATTTGCATTGCTAGACAAGTGACATTTGTGTTCATGCATGTTGCAAACAAAGAGAAGAAGACGATGAAAAACGGTCCAATTTCTTCAGGCAACACCCTGGGC